TATATACCCTGAATAGATTTAGGTCAGCACCCGCGTTCTGGCTTGTTGTTAAAATTACCCACTCACCTGGACTCACGACGACCACGCTCACGGGACGCTGGTCATCATTGAAGCGCTCTTGAACGGTATACATTAAGAATACTTGGATGAGCTTTGTGATCTAGATTGAAACCTCATTAAAGTATCTTCCAGCAGGCACCTCCCTCGGGTACGTACATGGTACACTTCCATGGGATCGAAGTTGACACTCAGCTTCGTATCGATATTGGCCGGGGAGACAGTTCCTGAGGTAGAAAATACTGTTCAGCATTTTTGAATGCCCTGTATTGCTTGAAGACTCACCCTCCGGAACGCTGCGATGCAAACTCGAGCCGACCATCAAGATCCTACACGGAGTCCCGTTCACACCAAGTTTCAGTGCCAACAATTCAATCAAAAGCGCGTGACTGAGGACGTTGACTTGAAGTGTTTCTTCTTGACCATCGACTGTATGACGACACCGAGAGGAGATCTTGCCCGCGCACAACACCAACACATCAATGGGCTCGGCGTACTTTGTCTTAATGATCTCAGCGAATTGATAGACCGAGGTGTAGCGAGCGAAATCACAATCCAATCGCTCGAGGACGGAGTTGGATGACTGAAGAGATGGTTGGAGTTGGCCGTAACGCCATGGCTCCAGTTCCGCACGACTACCGAGGACGACGGTATAGGAGCCTCCGGTGGCCAACAGAGACTCTAAGGCAGCATAACCCTAGTCCAATGCAGCATGTTAAGTAGCTATCGATCAAGCAATCGGGATTGAGACCTACTATACCGCTTGAGCCTAATTCACAAAGTTGACGTCAGGCAGCAAAGACAGCTATAATATCGTATCGTGTCGTACCTCCAATGAGTACAACTAGCTTTCTAGCAGGAGCGGGCTGATTATACTGATAGGAATGAGTTGACATCCGATCCAAGCTAACGGTGGTTGAGGAAGGTTAGTGAGCGGCTACTTTGGGCCCTGTGGCTGTGCGGCCGACGTCGATTACATCACACAGGCTAACACCTCCGACATCTCCAGCGAAATTTCTCTCCTTTATCACACCCGCCACCTCGGCACTTCGCTTGCATGGCCATCGACGACGAACCAATCATGAGTGACATTGAATTTAATGCTGTGACAGAAACCGAAGAAATCGTCTTGTCGCACAAACAGCAACGGAAATTCAAACGCAAGCGGGAGCGCGGGGAGGTGGAAGATTCCAACAAGAAACCGAAGAAGAGCAAGAAGGAGAAGGAGAAGGTGGAACCAGAAATTTCAAGCACGAAGAGAGAAAACAGTGTCTGGGTCGGGAACCTCGCCTACAAGACCACTCAAGATGACCTTCGGACCTTCTTTGATGGGACGGGAGAGATCACGCGTATCAATATGCCCAAGGGACCGATAAAAGGTTCTGCTGTCAAACGAGAGAATAGCGGGTACGTCATATTCACCATAGATGGCCTTAATGTCATTGATGGAGCTGATTTGAACTTCGATGATTAGTTACGCATACATTGATTTTGCGACCGAAGACGCTAAACTCGTTGCCATCTCACTCTCAGAACGGAATCTTCACGGACGGCGTCTCCTAATCAAAGACGGTCAGAAGATGTATGATAATCTATTCAAAAGGTATCGAGGTGCTAACGCAAGGCCCGACCGACGCAGGTAGTAACTTCGAAGGATCCAAATCTGCCGCGGCTGTACTGGTAAAAGCGACCAACGGCAAGGCTGTGTCGCTCACGAAGTCCTCTCGAAGGATCCTTGCCTCACAGAAAGAGTCCCCTTGCCCTGTACTCTTCATGGGGAACTTGGGCTATGAGGCCACAAAAGAGCAGATCCGAGAAATGCTACTACACCACGTACAAGTAAAAGGAAGGAAAGCTACGGGACCCCATAGCTCCAAATTACCTGATGCTACCACGATCAGTCCTGAAAATGACGCATCGGATGACGAAGGCTCGCAAACTGAGGGAGACGACAGCTCTCCCAGCACGGAAAAGAAGTCTAAACCTGCACCCGCACCATTGCTCTCTTTTGAAACCATCACTACCGATCTGACATCGAAGCCTCGGAAACCTCGAGAGCCCAAGAAGCCAGAAGATAACGCCCCTTCAGCCGCTAGCGAGCTTGGACTACGCAAGATCCGTTTATTTACGTTCCCAGACACAGGGAAATGCAAAGGGTACGTAGAAGGAATGGAGCGTTCTGGATCTCTTCTGATTGTCGTACTCCTTATATCTGGAATAGGTTCTGCTTCCTCGACTTTGAATCGACGGCACACGCTACAGCCGCTCTCATCCATCCAGGTAATCACCGCTGGAACAATAGGGACCTCATCTTACAATACGCCTCTCTCGACGCGGTGAGGAGAGGCGGATATCCCGAGGCGGACGGGAAGAGGGTGTTTGTCAAGGGATCTCAGCGAACTGCGGTCAGTCTGGAAGGGGCGTTGGCTGTGGCGGAGACAGGAGAGATCCGCCCGTCGGACGAGGCTGGTCTCGCTGAAGAGATGGACCGTGAGCGGTTGGGAGGATGGCAAGCAAGGGAGAACGGTCAAGTCTCTACAAAGCCCCAATCGGCAATGCGACGAGGCCCAACTGGGGGAAGGGTCAAGCAGGACAGACCGCGGCCGAAGCCTGGAGCGGCTTTGGCTGCCGCGCAGAGGGCGACCGCCGGTATTGTGCCGGGACAAGGGACAAAAGTCAAATTCACCTGAGATTGCATCGTTTTGTAACACTACTTTTACTCTCGTGTTTTTTATTCTTCGCTTTCACTTCCGCTTTCGCGGTCCTCGACCTCCCACTCTCCACAGATGTCCCAACGACATCCCGGCGCTTCTGCCGAGAGGTATTTGACGAAGCTGAGGACGCCAGCATCCCGGAATACGATAAGTAATCTGTTGAACCCGGGTTGAGCAACTAGTAACGTCCCGTCGTGATCTTCACCATCCTGTTCTTCATCGTCCTTGTCGTTGGACGCGCCCTGTGCTATCGCCTTGCTATGACCGGATCTGTACACTGCGGGATCGTCTTCCCCCTTATGTGGTGCCATATAGCACTGGAAGGTGAGAGATGGATGCGAGATACTTAGGGAGCTGTATAGCAGCGGGAAGCAAATCCATGGACTAACCTCCCATCCACCATACCTTCCACTCTCCCAATCGTTCACACTACCCACCTCAATCGGCGTCAGACCCAGAACGACATCTAACCTAGCAGCGCTCCGCTCAGACCTCGCCAACGTATAATCCAGACCTGGCCTGAACCGCCTCGCCTCGACGGTGTACTTGTGCGGTATCATCGATGACAGTAAAGCCAGCCATGCTCGGAACGCGGAGGAGGGGAAAAGGTTGTTTTGGAGATTGCGTAACGTATGCTGACCGGTCTGTACGTCTGGGCCTTTTGAATTGGGTCGATTTCGAGCAAGCACACAGTAACGAAGTTTATGGGGAGGTCCTTTTGCTTGCCAGCCGCGCCCACCGCCGACACCACAATTATGAGAAGGGATAATGGCACGACCACCGCCATCATTAGTGCGTGCCGCGCGACTAAGTTGGTCATCTCTGTCGTCGTCCCGGAGGCATTGCTCTAGTCGGTTGCTAAGCGATTTGCGGAGGAAGGTGTGGAGCTCGATGCTGGATTCATCAGCGAATCGCGCAGCAAGAGCTTTCATTGTCTTTGGAGAGAGATAGACGGGGTTCAGATATTCAGAGAGGAACATTGTGTCTTCTGTGGATAAGAACGATTTTGGTGTAAACTCAGAGGGGTACGGCCTTAGTTGGGTCGACGATGATGACTGGCAGAATAATTTAATCTGGTGCGACATGCACGAAGGATGTAATACACGGCTTACTAGTTGCTCAAGCGAAGACTTCTCCCGACCGGCGTCTGCATCCTCTGGAGGTATATGTCCTTCCTCTCCATGTTGTGGCTTGTGAAACCAACCAGAGACCGACAATCGCTGAGTCCCATCGGGTCCTGGCTCGACGACAACTTCTTCTACGGAGTGAAAGCTCCGCCCGGGCTGGACCTCGAAGAAGACGAACTGATTCCATGATGGGGGGATGACTTTGCTTGGCGCTGTAAGGGGTTCCAGAACACCCGTGACACTTTCCTCGACAGGGTAAAGTTCCAAGGCCCCTCCATACGAGGACTTCCAGGGTTGTCCGTAGGGGAGTGGGAGATAGAGAATATAGCTCACTCTTCTACAGACGATGGGACTGTCAATAGAAGTCACTCTCGTGGCCATGTTCTGATTTAGTAGGTGGACTCGCCTCGTACCGATAACGTCATCATGATTTAACAGATGGCAGCCTTTTTTATAGCTGTTTATACTCATGTCCTGCTTGGACCCCGAAAGTGCATCGCATCCTGTAACGGTCCTTAAGAAGTCACGGAATGTAGCACTGTAGAGCGCATTGCGGAGAATGTTTAGTGAAGGGAAGAGCGCAAGCTGCTCTTTGCTGAGATATGACAACGATGCCAAATCCCCCGTTTGGTTGACCTATTCAACAATATTGTTTACATCAAAGATGAGGGCCCGCAACGTCTTTCCTGGGCTTCAAAGTAGCATACCTTATAGATATCCGTCTCCTTTTCGGTGAAGTAAATATTGTCCATGATTTCTTTTGACACATCCTTGAGGAGTGTATCATCGAACAATTGATTGACTGCCGCGTATTTAAATGGTTCGGACTGAGCATAGGAGGCATGCAGCCCTTGAACGTTGGACGGCTTAAGCAGTCCAGGAGCGAATATTGTATTGAGATCTGATTTAGGGGTCTTAGCTCGTTTACTCTTCTTATTCGCTCGTTGGGGGGAAATGGAGCGACCTCGAGTGGGAGGCATTGAGAGAAATTTCTATGGACATGATTAGAGCTTAAAGGCCGCAAAGTCCGAGTTCAGCCATCTGGATGGGAAAATCTTTGTCTCCCAGTCATAGTTTTGTGTGAGAAAGGTTCCCTTAAAAGGGGTGTGTGGCGCAGTGGTAGCGCGCCTCATTCGCATTCGGGTGTTGGCCTGATATATTAGCCTTGAGGAGGTCTAGGGTTCGAGTCCCTACTCATCCATTCGTTTTGCTGCAATGTCTGAGGGCAAAAGCGATGAAGCTAGGGAGCCTGTCCATGATTTCTACCTCTAGCTGGATCTCTAGCCGGTTATAGTGACATTGTGCTAACTCGTTTTTGTTTCTTTGATGTTATGAAAACGGTGCTCAAGTATTCAGAATGTTCATACATGCATGCCTTACTTGGGCTATTCTATTCAACAATCAAATCTATTACAGTTCAACGGTGGTACAAAAAGGTCTAGATTACTCTTCCTTCCTGAATTGGTACGATGCTGCCAGCCTCCTCGCCAGCCATTCTTTGGAAGTCAATGGCTCGGCATCCGGATCCACGCCGAACCTCTCCATCATACCACGCTTTCCAATGTCCGCCCCCATCTCCGTTTCCGTCTCGGATGTTGGTGATGTCAAACGGGAGATTAGAACATCATCGTCTGGTTGACTATAGAGGCATCTCAGCTTACAAATAGCTTCATGCGATCCTCATAGATATATATCTACTTACAGAAAGTAAGCGATGGAGAATCGGGGGCCAGCCTCCTTCTCTGATCGAGGCAAAACCACCCGATGCATTGTGGATTTGAATTTGCCGCCCGTCCAAAAGTCCATCAGATCACCGATGTTCACGAGGACTGCATCCTTGACCACAGGAGCATCGAGCCATTCCGATTTGGCTGATTTGGATGACGGGGGTAGAAGTATCTGCAGCCCTCCGACTTCTTTCTACTCCGAGACAAGCGTGAGTTTAGGCCTTAGGATTGAGATAGAGAGTATGCCCACCTGAAACAGAAGCGTAATCGATCCTTGGGAAGGTATTAGTTATTAGCTCTGCGGTCGCTATCGACTGGAGAGAGTGACGTATACCATAATCGCTATGGGCACCGGCCCTGATATCATCTCCATGGGCCTTATTAGGGGATTCTCGCAGATCGGTAGGTGGATAGTATAGTAGCCGAAGGATGGTGCCCCGTGGCCTATCGGACGAGTGTCGCGAGGTGAAGAAATCGTTCACGAGCTAGGGAGTCAAACCAGGTGAGAAAGGCAGATCCAGATTAATGATTCAGCAAAGTAGAGCCATTACATTCAGGGATAAGGCGAGCGCTTCAAGCACTCGCATGCAGAGGCTGTGGCATGACCTTGCGAATGAGGCGATGTCTTGCTGGTTCCTGAGAAGCGAAGGTGGAAGCGGTTGTTGAGCTTTATCATTGCTGTCGAATGGTCGCATATTGAACGCCCTGTATTTAGATAGCTTCAGCATCATCAGACGTGTGTTTCGACAGGGATGAGCTCAGCGACTCTTTGATGTCACCGGCAGGGTGTTCCTCAGAGTCTAATCTTCGAGAGCAGGATGAATTCATGAGTATTCAACAAAATGATCTCCAAATGATCCCTTACTTTTCTTGGCGCACTCGGATCCATCCCACGTTCCCTATGGTATATCCAACCTGAGAAACGGGGTTGAGATTGAGCACAACAGGATTGCTGGCATTGGTGTCATACCTTGGACTTTTCGTCAATGTGCTCATGCAGGAAGAACTCTTCTGCAATCTCAAACATCCGCGCGATCGACTCAGGAGACGGCACGGATGGCGACTTGAGGAACAGAAAGCCTAGATCGGCGATAGCATCGGGAATCTTGGCAGCCTGCGAATCAACATCGATAGAGGGTATGGCAATCGACATGTATTCCGACGACAGTGAACCAGAGATAAACAACGCTGAAATGAAAGACGGAGAAACGTGATTTGAACACCATCTATTAGTCATTAGCTCGGCGCACGCCCCACCCACCCCTCTCAACCATCCACCACGATGCTGGCTACCTCGCTAATCTCATTAGCCGTCTCCTCGTCAGCTCTAGTCGCTTCTGGACCGACGTATATGAATACATCCACACCAGACCCATCAACATATGCTGCCGTCAGCGACAAAGGCAACGTCAAAGTACCAATCACCCTTGGTGTCATGTCACGATGCCCTGACGCTCTATTCTGCGAAGAGGTCTTCGATTCTGTATTAGATGAGGTCGGATTTGATAAAGTGGATGTGACGCTGTCTTTTATCGCCAGGTTCAGCGAAACCATTTTCTTTATCATCCAATGAAATTAGATCTTGCTAACAATGCGAATGCCTCCCCCCCTCTCTACTTGTATAAATAGGTTCGATGGATTCGAACCCAAGTATGGCATTAAATGCATGCACGGCGTACAAGAATGCGATGGAAACGTGCAGGAGCTCTGCACATCCAAACACAGAGGTGGTTCAAAGGCAGTCGCAGAGTGGTGGCCTTGGCTACAGTGCTTCAACGCGGGAGGACTTGGAAACGTCGGAAACGTCGGACGTGCGAGGGAGTGCGCAGAGATGTCTGGCTTCGATTGGGATGACGGATCGAACAGCATCGCGGAATGTGCTAAAGGGTCTGAGGGCGTCGAGTTGCTCAAGGAGAGCGTGAAGAACACTCAGGCGTTGGAAATTCAGTGGGTTCAACGGTCTTTTGCGTGGCGTGGTCGATCGCAGCTTTTTTCAGCCTAGAGGGAGCTGCCATTCACCTCCTTTTATACTATTTTTAGGAAAAGCTGCTCGATCCTCATCAGCGGCAAGGTTAGATGTGTGCATGACGGAACTTGGAAAGATTGCGAGGTTAGTATGTAGTGCCTAGATGGACAACGATTTTTTTTTATCGAGTTGCTGACGATCATTGATGCCTTGCAGGGAGGTCACAGCGTCAGCGAATTGGCGCAATCCATCAACGACGAGTATGCTCGGCTGAACCACCACTCGGATTCACAAGACTGGTGGCATAGATCATCTCTTCACCTACGGATTAATATTTAGTATTATGGGGCAGTGTCAAAGTGTCCTCGCGTGTTTGCTTTTTTATGGCTACATCAGCGGACAAGTCAAGGTGAACCAAGATCATTTCAATCAACGAAAAAGATTTAGATAATCCTCAAAATTGTTTTAAAATATTCAGATACCAAGGAATTTGGGAGGTCAAGTCGCATGAGTCGGAGACGCAGCTCTCGAGCCCATCGTCGACAGTCGTCCCACCGAACCTCGATCAGATTCGAGGTCCGGTGTCGAAGCCACCAGAGATCGCATGGACTGAGACCTCCGAACGTGTGCGCGATCATCTTCGTCTTCATCGTCTTCCCCATCCGAGACGTTCTGAGAGACCAACCCCATCTTATATGCCAACTCCGATGCATGTGCGGTGTCAGCCGCGGGACTGGAAACAGTAGTTTGAGGGGATGGCGTAGAGTGTGACGGCGAGGACGACGACTGAGATTGAGATTGAGACGGTGGTAGGTCGATCATGTGCCTCATGCGTTGAACCTTTGTGCGCAGATATCGTTCCAACTCGGGTCCATGAGCAGCTCCAGCTCCGATGAGCGTCGCGCCACCACGACGGAGCTGCAAATCCTCGAAGGAGGCGTGGGACGAGTCCGAATCTGAATTCGAGTCTGCATCGTCCCGTGCCTGCTGCTTCTCCATCGACGATCGTTGCTTCCCACCAGACCTCTTCTCAGCCTTCCTCCGCTTTGGGCTATGATCGTTCCCGCACTTCCAACTCCTTGGAACCATCGCGACCCTTTCCTCAATCCTGATGCCTTCCCTCTCAAGCGCTTCCATCTTCTCCGGATTGTTCGTCAAAAGCCTGACGCCTTTCCTCTCTGCCTTGCCCCCATCTCCTTCACCGCCAGCTCCGAGTCCCAGATCCCTCATGATTGCAGCAGCGATCTCGTATCCACGTTCATCCGCACCATGTCCGAGGAGCAAGTTAGCAGAGACGGTGTCATGACCTAAGTCTTGAAGATTATACGCTCGGATCTTCTCGAGGAGACCAATGCCGCGTCCCTCTTGGCGCAAATAGATGACAGCACCCCGTCCGGGTATCTTGATCGAGGGGGACTTTGGTTTCGAAGAACGGATGGTTTGAGGGACAGAGATGAGGCGGATGGCCTCATCGAGCTGTTCGCCACAGTCGCAGCGCATACTCCCGATGGTCTCTCCAGTGAAACACTCTGAGTGTATGCGGACCATGGGTGCGGGAATGATATAGTCTGACGCCGTAGTGGTAGTGGACGAGGACGACGCGTGTGGCGTGGAGACGATGGAACTGTTCGGCGAGAGTCGCCCGACGTAGGCACCTCGAATTATCCGCTCCATATCCGTCTCACCCTCGTGCCACCGCGCGTCGAGGGATCGACTTCGTATCGGAGGAGCGACGAGTTCGTTCAAGGGACCTGCCTCCAGTTGAGCGGAATCAGCCACTACCGCCAAATGCTCCTTGGTGTCCCAATTGTTATGGTACAAGTGGAGGAAGACAGGTCCATGGGGAGTGGGGACTCGCGTGCGAGCGCGACATTGGACTGTTAGAGCAGGACGCGAGGATAATTTCGGTTGGGGCGCGTGTGCGAGTGAGGAATCGTTTCGGGCTCTCGGGGAAGCGATAGGTTTTGGTGCTGGGCATAACGTATTCGCGTTCTCTAAACACTTGAGGATACTCTGGAGTGGCTCTGGGTCATGGGATGGGAGGAGAGAGGGTCGACGTTTCTTCGGGCTTTTCGTGGTGTGCAACTTGAAACAGAAGGGGCAGTTAGTTCATCAGTTCGGCATACCCCTGCCCATTCTTCGCGATACCCACTCGTTCCCTATCTCCCTGCCCCATGGACCTGAGAGCCTCCTCCTGTAAACGCTCCTTGCGAGATTTCTGGTGGCTGACATAACGTGGAGGAGCGTCGGCCGACGCGGTGCCCAATGCCGCAATATCGTCCTCGCTCCAGTCGCACGTACCATACGACCCGACTTCGGGATGTTTGTCGTTTGGATGGTAATCATCCGTCGGGAAAAAGTCGTGGTGAAAGTGATGCCGTGTGTTATGAGGACCCGATGAGACGGCGGCAGCGAAGATGAGAGGGTCGAATACAGCCTCTCGGCGTTGGAACTTGGGCACGACGCGATGTGAAGTGATGGATGTGAGCTGGTCGAGGAATGCGAGGT